TCGTTTTTAATACGATTTGTAGATTCGTAAATAAATAAAGTACAGCCGTTTTATGAGTAATTTGTCACACTAACGCGATGTCATATCCGGGCATTTTTTTAACCACTGTCGTTTAGATAATATGTTGTCGTTCGCTTATAGTTAAATACATTATTTTACTGAATTTTTATGATTAATATCCTTTTAATTAATATAATTATTTAACTAAAAAAAGATATTAATAAAAAATAAGAAAAATAAAATTAGCATTTTAAAAGTATTTATCTACTTTCTTCTTGTTCTATGAATATTACAACTATCTAGTTCTCCGGCCTGGAGAAGTGGATAATTCTCATCATTAAGGTTAAACTGCTATAGATGATACGTACTATTTATTTGGTCAATATCAACTATGGCCTGTAAATGGTATGTAAAATAAATATCGAAAATATATTTTACTGTTCATTTAATAGATGCCTTTTACAGACCATTTACTATTCACAGGCCTTACGTTTGTGACCCTTGAAGTAATATGTAATTTTTGAGACCTTCTGCCCAAATATGTGTGTGTGTATATATATGTAGATGTAGTACACGACAAGCTTATATTTCGTTAATTTCTACAAACAATTGGACGAAGTACTCCATGAGATCAATTGGATTGAAGTAATTCCCAAGAAAAATTTCCCTTCATTTCACCGATTTGAGTTTAGAATTCGAGTTTTGATACAGTAAAAAACGCTCAAAAATAATAACATCTAACATTTTTACTACAGTAAAAAATTCTCACATAAAATTACATCTCAACTCAAATTAAAAATTCAAATTAGCGAACTAAACGAGAGTCTTACTTTCACTTTTCTTGTACCTTAATTCAAGGGACAACGGGCCAATCCAATCACTGAAGGCTTAAACTTCAAGCAATATGGCTCTATGAATGAGGATAAATAGTGTTATGGCTTAACCCAAAAACTGAGGACCAAACCAACTCCAGAAAATTATTAGATCTTCAAATCGTCATTCCCTCACGAGTTTTTAATTAACCTTCATTAAATCAAATATTCTTCTCCTGTTACGCTTCAACATCATTTCCTTGATCTTGTAGTGCATTTCATTGAGGCAAAAGCAGTTCCAATCCGTGAGATGACTTGATCATAATGAAGATATTTGCTGCTTCTCTGTAAAGGCATGTGCTTTCACTCAAGTCCGTACATTGCATTTCTTTACATGTGTCTTTGTATGTGTGCGTGCGCCTTTTTTTTCAAAATAATAATAATAATAATAATAATAGGGATTCTACAGTAGAGTATAAAAAAATACAATATGGGAAGAGTTATGTTTTGAACCGTCAATTTTGTATAGATTTTATTCGTATATATATATATATATATATATATATATTCATATTCATTCAAAACAGCATCACTGCCATAGAAAGCCATTTTTCCCACTAAATCCTATATGTGCATTGCATCTTCACCAATTTTCTCTTTTCTACTCTTTAGATGATAAAGTGGATGGCTTTTTTTTTTTTTTTTTTTTTTTTTTGGGTGGTTTTTTTTTTTTTTTTTTTTTTTTTTCTGAGTGGCACTTTTCTGCTATGTAACTTAATTATTTCATTTAACAGGCTGGCACTATATTATAGAGTTACTGAGATTAACTTGAGAACTGTCTCACAGAAAAGTTGTCTAGCTCCAATTGCCATGCTTTTAATGTGCCTTTACTGTAAAACACAACAGGGATGTTATAGGGCTTGTTTTTTTTTTTTTTTTTTTTAAGTAAAACTCTAAAAAAAATTTGAACTCAAGTCATAATTTTTTTTTAAGTTTATGTTCGTTTGTAAAATTTGAGTTTGAACTTAAGTTGTAACTTGAGTTTGAGATTAAAATCTGAGTTTAAGTTTCCCCTTCAACTTAAATTCTTAAACTCAAACTCAAGTTAATGAACAATATTTTTTCTATTCTTAAAAACGTCATAACTTTTTCATTTTATTTTCGATTGAGATGATTTTTTTTTCTATGCATTCACAAAAAAGAGACGGATAAAACCCCACCCATATATCCTATTAATATTTTTCATCACTATTGAGTTTTTATTAAAATGCTATCTAAATACAAATTCAAGTTTTGACCAACTCAAATAGATTCTCAATTCAAATCATAACTCAAATGTGCACCTCTAAATACAAACTCAAGTTACAATTTTAACTTATTATAATTTAAATTTAATTTAAAATCTATACTCAAATCACTATAACTTAAAAATGTAACCGAACAGGCACTTAGGCTTTGAGGATTTGTTAATCATATGAGGGTGCATTCTATTATTTGTCCTTTGGTCCATTCTACTTTGGGCTTTTCTCATTGTTAAGTACACTTTTTGGTGATGCTTCCCCTTGAAAGAAGTAGCGTGTAGGGTCGTTTGTCAAAGTTTCTCAACTGCTTTTGGAGCAAGTATTAATCTCCAATACATTTTTTTTTTTAAAGCATGAATTAAGCTAAAATTTCGAATTAAAATAACAGTGCAACTGTCTTTTTTTTTCCTTTTAATTCTTTGTCTCTGTCTTTTACTTCCTTTTATTATTTATTTCATTTTTCTTTCTAATTTCAAATAAATTCATTTTTAAAGTTTAGTAAAAAAATCTACAAAATTATGAATTTTTTTTTCTGAAGTAATATAATTTGTTTTTGCTTTACGAAATTTTGAGGTGAATTTTTATTTTCTGTATTGAAATAATTTGTGTTTGCTTTATGAAATTTTAAGTTTGACATATAAATATACTTAAAATGCAAAAAATTAAAGTAAACTCCGTATAAGTTAAAAAAAAAAAAATGTTGGGAGGTAAAATGAGAGATAAAATTTTTAAGTAAAAGCTTCTTTGGCACAAAAGTCTAGTGGGGCTCCACATTGAGCTAGCATTTTTATCCTTGAGCTTTTGTCCTGTCCCACCCAATTTTGTAGCTTTATGGTTAGAAGAACTTGAGGTAAATTATTCTTTTATCCATATAAGTGTCCCATGAGATATATCCCTTTTTTTTTTTTTTTTTCATTTGGCTTATAAAAATTAGGGAAAAGTGTGGGGTTCACATATATTTGGTATCTTTGCATGTGTGTGAGATTAGGTTTGGTATCTTTGCATGGTTTTCTAAAGTCTGTTCTACCAAAATTAGATGGGAAGTTAATCAACAAACTTCTCTTTGTAAGAGAATTGCAAATTGAAAGTCAAAACTCCTTAACTATTTCAAGCTACAAGGAAGCTAGGTCATTTTGTTTCAATCTAAAATAGTTCATAGAAAGGAATCCAACTTCTTTTCTTTTGGTTTGTCCTTTATTTTCATGGTGCATATTGATCATTACGATTATTCAAATATGTTGACTAGTTTAGGAAACTTCATAGGTAATTTAGGAAACTTCATAGGTAATTTCTTCGATAGAAACTGTCTTTTCTTTCTATTAGTATGAATTATTATTTTAATTATTAAATTACTTTTTAATGGTCTGATTTGTAAGTGTGTGTGTTAAAAATTTAATAGCATGTCATAAATATTTCCGATCATAAATTAACGACTACAACAACAGTTACTATCGATAAGAAATAATGATGGTTCCTACGGTACTTCATCATTTAATTACTTGTTATATATAAGATTAGACAAATAGTTTTTCTCGTTTATTTTGCGGATTCGAGTTGAGATGTGACATTTTATGAGAATTTTTTACTGTAGTAGAAAAAGTTAAATGTGATATTTTCTGAGAGTTTTTTTACTATATAAATCTATAACTGAAAACTCAAATCGGTAAAATAAATGATGTTAGACCGTCATATTCTATTGTCATGGATTCCAATCTATTATATCATAACAATCTTTTGCATTCTATTGGCACTAAAAAATTTGCACAATCGTCCTTAATTAATTATACTTAAGTTGGGCTTTATCATAATTTAAATTTGAAGCCATATTCTAGATTCAGACAGATTGATAAATTCAAATCCGTCCTTTTCAAATTTTGCTTAAGAGCTAAGGTTCTTTTTATTATTATTAGTTTTATCTTTTGCTCTATATAATCAATGATCGACGGTCGTTTACCAGCCAAGAAATCACCAGCCCATTCCTCCACGTGTCACTATGAGACACCATTATGTCACCTGCCCGTTGATTTTAAAATCTCACCGACGCTTTTCTAGTCAAAAAACGCAGGCAAATCTGAACGCCGTCGTAACAGAATCAATGCCGAACTGGTCGACAATCGAACGGTCATTATTTCTTGAAATTTTGAAAAAATTATTAAAAATGGTATTGTACCTTATATACTTGCGTTTGGCAGAGGGATTCGTCCCCTGATTCGAATCATGATTCGTGGTTCGCTACAGTATTTTCTGTCACAAAAAATACACGTAAATCGAAAATGATTCGAATCACATAGTTTGAATCCTCCAACCAAACGAACCCTTAAATCCAGAGAATTTTAGGTCTGGTTCAGTTTGTTGATTTAAATTTTTAATTTGAGTTTAAATGTAATTTTATGTGAAAATTTTTTATTATAAAAAAAAATTTTAAATGTGACTTTTTATTAGAGCTTTTAATTGTAACAAAATTAAAATTAAAACTCAAATCAGTGAAATAAATGAAATCTTACGTCTCTTTTCACAACTTAGTGTTTTTTTATATAAAAATTTAAATTTAATTTTTTATTATAATATTTTTTTTAAATAAAATTCACTTTAAAACTCTATTTTTTAACTCGAGTTGTGAAAACAACGTAATCTAAATTTATTAGCAATATTAGCCCCTAAATTATGTATCATGTCATTTCGGTCTTATTTTTCTTTCCTAAAAAATTACTCCTTTAGCTTTCATTTTTCAGTCACAATCATAAAATTGATGAAAGTAATAACGTGACAATCACGTGATAACTAAAATGTTTTAGTTATTAGACAGGGAAGCTTTCTAACATTATTACTAATAATTCAGGGGGAAAAAAAAAAAGCGCTCACAACCCAAAATAAATCAAATGAAAAATAGGGTTCGGAAACAAACCACGTAGCTCCTGATCCCGAAAATTAACGGGTCAGATTAAATAATCTGTTACGAGTCTCAACTATTAAAAGGACAGTGATAACGAGGAAGAAAAGACTTTTTTCTTTGGTTTCGAGGAAAACAGAGGAGAGAGAGACGGTGATCGTAGAGGTTTATCATCGGTTTCGAAACGGGGATTTGATTTGAATCGGCGTTTCTGGAGTTCGAATCGGCATGGCTGAGACCCAGCACCACCACGAGGAATCGTTGCTGGAGAAGATAACCGATAAGATCCACGGCCACGATTCGTCGTCGTCGTCGTCGTCCTCCGATTCCGACGACGACAAGAAAAGCGAAGCGCAGTCGTCCTCGTCATTGAAGTCCAAGATTTACAGGCTCTTCGGGAGGGAGAAGCCCGTGCACAAGGTCCTTGGCGGTGGAAAACGTACGTTCGCGATCTCTCGGTTTCTGATAGTATTCTTATGTTGCTGTTCATGCCTTTTCCCTTTCTTTTTTATTTTATTTTATTTTTTGGATTAGAAATTCTTTTCATTTGATTTGTTTTGATCAGAAAATTGAGGGGTTCGAATGAGATTTCCAAAGTCCACGTACTGGAAATTCTTTGCATTTTGGTTGTTTGGATGAAATCTATCTGGATCTGATTGTTTGTTCTTTTAAATGTTTAATTTTTCTGCGATTTTATTTGATTTCCCATTTAGTTCAAAGTAAAGGTCGGTGCTTTTTTTTTTTTTTTTTTTTTTTTTTTTTTTTTTTTTTTTTTTTACAAGTTTAATTTTGTAAGGCTATGGCGTCTTCTGCAAGGTTGGAAATTTTTTAGTATTAACAAACCGCAATAATTCAATTATGTTGCTTTCTCTTTGGATTTTTATTTTGGTTGGATTATATGTGTAGCTTTTTCATGAAAAAGATAGAAACAAGTGATTTTTTTTTTCTAAGGTGAAAAATGAGCTCTGATTTTTTTTTTTGGGGCTCTAGTAAGTTATCGAGTTGTAGAACTTTTTGGGTTTTTCAAAGTTTTCCATTAACATTTATTCTTTTCATGTCACAGCGGCCGATATTTTCTTGTGGAGGAACAAGAAGGTATCTGCAGGAGTGCTTGGAGTTGCCACGGTCATATGGATACTGTTTGAATTGGTTGAATACCATTTGCTCACACTTGTTTGCCACTTGTTGATTCTTGCTCTCGCTTTGTTGTTCTTGTGGTCCAACGCTTCAACCTTCATTAACAAGTATGTTTCCAAACTTCTCATTTATTGTCACGTCTATTGGGAAAGTGTTTCCAAACTTCTCATTTATTGTCACGTCCATTGTTTTCCCCATAGTTTTCGTGGATTGTTTGACGCCCCAATTATTTCTGTTTAGGTCTCCACCCCGCTTGCCGGATGTCTATATCCCCGAGGACCCTGTTCTGCAGGTTGCTGCCGCGCTTAGGATTGAGATCAATAGAGGTTTGGCTATCCTACGCGAAATCGCATCAGGGAGAGATCTGAAGAAGTTCCTTTCCGTACGTTGATTACTTCCCAATTGTTTGTCTTGAAACCTTGCTTTACACTTAAGCGACAGCTCAACTTTTCGGATTCCTTTTGATAATTCATCGGCGATAAAGTCTTCGTTTTGGTTCTTATCATTTTAGGCCCCGTTCATTTCGCCGATTCGAATTTAAAATTCGATTTTTATTACAGTAAAAAGTTCTCAGAAACATTCATATCTAACTTTTTTGCTACAGTAAAAAGTTCTCACACAAAATCACATCTCAATTTGAATTACAAACTCGAATCAACGAAGTGAATAAGTCCTAAATTCTAACAGTAGAACAGCTCTTACCACCTTAAACTTTTGGGAGAATTGATTATCTAACTTCTAACATGATTATTGGTTAACAAACATACATTTTCTGATTTGATTATTTATTTTGTGGTCAATTAGGTGATTGCTGGCTTGTGGGTTCTGTCTGTAGCGGGAAATTTGTTCAACTTCTTGACCTTGTTCTACACAGGTAATGAACTTATATTATTACCACACACGCACCCTTGTTAAGAAGTATATGCATATTAGTTAACCCTTCTGAATTCTTACTGTGATAATTGCATTTCGTGTTTTCTGATTTGCAATACAGCATTTGTTTTGCTTTTTACCGTGCCGGTGATTTATGAGAAATACGAGGACAAGGTGGATCCGTTTGCTGAGAAGGCAATTATTGAGATCAAGAAGCAGTACAAAGTGTTTGATGCAAAGGTTTTGAGTAAGCTTCCTAGGGGGCCATTGAAGAAAGACTGAAGCGGTCGATCTGACCACGCCTGTTTCTATTTGCTGACTTATATAATGTTATATTGGGTAGCTGTATTTTGCGGGGTGTTGTTATAAGTGCTTTTCTTTTTAATCCATGATTGGCTAGAACCCTCCTCTCTCCTTTTGTTTTTCCAGGTGTTTGGGTTCTCATTGTGGTTGGATGGTTTTTCTGGAATCTTTTTCTATACTTGTTTTTTCCTGCGTATATTGTGTTACTCATGGAATTTGCTAGAACTAAATATAATTTGCGTACTTGTGTTAGCATAATGTAAATTTGAAATTTGTTTCTGTCGAATGCTCGTATTTTTTCTATTAGATTTACGCTTGAATGCTACCTGAAATGATCTTTTGAATTCTTTTTTCCAGACAAATGATGGGGAATTTTTTTTTTTAATTATTTTAAAGATTTTTATTCTAGCAGATCCCCAAATTCGGACTTTCTGCATAGGACGTGACGACAATTACAAAAGAGAAAATTCATACGAATTATTTTTTTTTATTCTTCTTTTGTGGCTGATACGTTTCATATCACATTATCAATTAGGAAAATAGAATCTTTCCAAGTTTTTACCTAAAGCACTTGGCTAATCTATAAGTTGTAGACAATTAACAAAATTATACGTGAACATGATCTCATAATCACTTTCAACAAGTTTGATCGCGTATTATTTTTATTGTTGGGGTAATTTCTTTGATTAAAGGTGTCTAATCATAAAATGGACAATTGTTTTATTTTACCGATTCGAGTTTAGAATTCGAGTTTTGTTACAGTAAAAAATTTTAAAAAATAATCACATCTAATTTTTTTATGACAATAAAAATTTTTCACATAATATCATATATCAACTCAATTGAAAAATTTGAATCAGCGAACTAAACACACCCTAATCCACGCTTACCGCAGCATTGTTGACACCCATATCTCATTGCGAAATCGCCCAATCGCTTGCGTAATGCTTATTGCAGATTGTAGAATCATCTTTTGGACCCAAAAAAAAAAAAGGAACAAATAACTGGAAAGTCATCATAAAATAATCGTTTCTTCAAAGTTCTAGAACCACAACAACGTGGCAATATGTCCACGATAGATGTTGCTCTTCACGATTCAAATGAACGGTTAACGATACATAATATAATTTTTGTACCAAACGGGAAATCTCAGTAGTTTATTTTTTTAACTCCATAAATAAAAGAAAATGAAAAATCAGAATTACTCGCCACATCATTTATGATTTACCACAAGAAAATGATATACGATTTGAAATCCCTACCATTTTCCCAAGTATTTTTTTGTTGGCACCAAACTTGAAAAATGTAATACACACTTAACAGAAGGCTGATCCTTTCCTTGCATTGTTCATTTTGCTGACAACAATCCAGATGATCAACTACTTGCATTTATTCCCATATTGGACATAATATTACATAATATATGTTAACATCTTTTGTAAACTAAACTACACACTAATAAAGTGACAATTCGGTTTACAAACCATTACTGAGGCAAAAACTGTGGAATTCAATTTTTAAGCTAGATTTTTATTGTTTGTCTTATACTTCTATTCACCGCATTACCTCTGAAAGCTTAGGTCCGAGGAAAAAGGTTTAACCATTCATATGCTAAACTCGTTTTTATGCGCAGTGTTTGCGGTAATCTCCAGTCTCATAGGAAATAAGTCAACTGTTGCTTCTTTCTTGACCCTCCTTCCCCATATGAATCATTCCACTGCTTCAACTCCTTCATTACAGATCCCTCCGCTGCAAAGCTCGCAGCGACCTGCAATGCGATTCGAAAATGAGATAGAATTCCAATAAGAAGTCGTTCAAAAGTGAGATTGAATACAGAAGGGCAATATGACACATCAAATATGAAATCTATCCCTTGCTGTGAGACGTTAAAACATTGCATATATATATTTTTTTAAGGGAACGTGTTAAAAGCAAGGCTTCAAAACACTTGCAAGGAACATAATCCTAGATAGGGAGGCAAATTGTACATATTTAGACTATAAAAACTATTATTGGTCCGCTTCCTAACTTGAGCTGGGAGAATTGATAAATCTAACATGGTATCGGAGCTATATTGAGCTTTTTATATGTTTCAGGCTTATTATTTAATATTCACATCTTAGAGCTTTCCACTTACAATTTACCCGATAGTTGTATTTACCTGATTCTTTGCCTGTCTGAAGTCTTCCATGTTTAAGGGCCTGAGTTTAATTACTCTTTCCTCTTTACCACTTTCTGTTTCTGCGGTATTTTCTGCTTCCTTTGTATTAGGGGCCTCTGCGGCTTTCCGCTTTTTCTCCTACAAAGATAAAAGGCGCTCATTAGCATTATATGTCCTCCAACATATGTAACATCGAAAAAAAAACCTTAATATAAGAAGAAACATGAGAAACATGTATAATTTAAAATGATTACACTCACCAAATCCTTTAATCTTTCTTGCTGTATTAACTCCCTAACAGGCCTATAAGCCGCCGTCGTGCACAAGTTCTGTATGGCAGAAATGTAATGGTCAGCAACACCTAATTTTGCAGTAAGCAAGCAAAAAAAAAAAAATATATATATATATATATATATATGTATTATGCTGACCTTAAGATCACTCCCACTATATCCTTCTGTCATAGTTGCAAGCTCCTTGTAATCTAGTCCTTCTTCAACCTTTTCTTTCGCAAGTATAGTTTTCAATATCATTTCCCTGTTCTCCACTGATGGAAGCCCAACCAAGATTCTGTTCATTACACATAACATAAACATATGTTATAAAAACATGGTCCAAGGCTAATTCTAAAAAACTTCAAAGCAGATTATATACCTTCTCTCAAAGCGCCTTATAATTGCCTCATCAAGGTCAAATGGCCTGTTTGTTGCAGCAAGAACAAGAATCCTGTCGCCTTGTTTTGTCAAGAGCCCATCCCAATGAGTCATGAACTCATTCTTAATCTTCCGCATGGCCTCATGTTCCCCGGATCTTGAGCGCTGCCCGAGCATGCTATCAACCTCATCTACAAAGATAATTGTAGGGGAAACTTTTGCTGCGAGAGTGAAGAGCGCTCGGACATTTTTCTCATCCTCTCCGAACCATTTTGAAGTGATGGTGGACATGGATACATTAATGAAACTTGCTCCTGCCTCCTTAGCAATGGCCTTTGCCATCATTGTCTTCCCAGTTCCAGGAGGCCCAAATAGAAGTATTCCTCTGCAAGGCTTTAGAAGGCCTCCGTTGAAGAGGTCGGGGCGTCGAAGAGGAAGCATTACTAATTCCTGAAGGGATTCTTTGATCTCATCCAAGGCACCAATATCAGCAAATGTCACTCCAATCTCACTCGCAGGTATCACCTCTGGCCTAATACGCTTCTCAAATTCATTGTCAGGTGGTACTTCCTGTTAAGAAGTTACACATACAGCAGAAACATGAAACTCTTATGATTTACATTAACTTCACGAGTTGAGATCACAATTTTGTCCAGAAATGTTGAGCTACAATTTACTTTTTGTTCAAGTTTCTTAATCAAAATAAGAAAGTTAGAACTGGAAATTTATGAGTGACTCGCGAGATTTACCGGAGCTTTTGCTGCTGGAACTGAATTATCAGTGTCGGTTTTTGTAACTGAAGCTGGTGTCTCTTCTGCAGATTTGTTTTCAGGAGTACCGCTTTCAACTTTCGTTTCTGGTTTCGTGCCAACAGTCTCTTTGCTTTCTGCTTCCTGTGATTGGAGAAGAAATAGACAGATCAGAATGTTACTTTCACACTTCCATACCAAAGAGAGGACATAGAGATGCAAATATAAACAAACCTTGGATGTTTTGACCTGAGCATCTAGTTTTAATGAATCTTTACCGTGTTCTTGGAATATACTCAATCCATGGGACAAACTGTTCCAGAGAGGAAGACACATCAAGATCATGTGAAATGTTATATCACATAAGATGTTTAAGAGAAAAACAAGATCTAACCTTACCTCTTCGAAGGAATAATGAGCTTTCCGTTTCTGTATTCGGGATTCTTGTTATTCATAAGGTGATAAGAAATTGCTGACACCACAATCTCTTCTATGTAGTTACTGAGAACCATTGTATCTGCAATGCAGATTGAGTCCAGATCATCACAATCTAGATCATTCGCTGATAGTACTTCCATGATATGGTTTCTGTTATCCTTGACTTGGATCATTCTCATGTCTTCCTCCAGTTGGGATTTCCAGCTGACATGGTGTGATTCATCTTCGGGCGGCCTGATCTCGATTGTGTAGGTGAAAAGAGCAGCAAGCTTCTCATCCACCTCTCCGTACTCGTCTTTGGGATCAACAATTTCCGAGCCCAGGATCAGAACTGATCCGGATAGTTTATTCAACATCTTCTGAAATAAGTTGTATATTCTTTGTGACCTTGACAAGAACATGTCAGCATCCCTGAGGTACAACACAATGGGACTGGTTTTTGAAACCGAAACCAAAACCTGTAAGGGAATTCAGTTTTTGTCTCAATGATCAAGATATGTAAAAATAAGGAATTACAAAATGTTGTTAACTGATGAGATTCTCAACACAATAAATAACATGAAATTACCCGGTAGATAGATTGTATAAGTAGCTTTTCATCAAATGACCAACTGCTTGTGCGCTTGAGAGCACCTAAACACAAAAAGAGAGAAAAA